TAAAGCTAATGGCCACTACTCAGTCCTCCTACTCCTCGACCTCTCCGTGGCCTTCGACACAGTCGACCACCCCTCCTCCTTACTAAACTACACTCCCTTGGCATCAGGGACTCTGCTCTCTCCTGGTTCTCCTCTTACCTATCCCAACGCTCCTTCAGCGTTACCTATAACGCTGCCACCTCCCCCTCTCTCCCCCTCTCTGTTGGGGTCCCCCAAGGATCTGTCCTCAGACCCCTTCTCTTCTCCATCTGCACCTCCTCCCTTGGCAAACTGATACACTCCCATGGCTTCAACTATCACCTCTATGCTGATGACACACAAATTTACCTCTCCACCCCTCACCTCACCCCCTCACTCTCCGCATGCATCCCCCACCTCCTAAACGACATATCAGACTGGATGTCGCTCCATTTCCTCAAGTTAAACCTTTCCAAAACTGAGCTCCTAGTTTTCCCCCCAGCCCGTGCCCCCCCTATCCTCTCCATCACGACTAATAATGCCACCATCAATCCCACTCCACACGCCAAAGTCCTAGGTGTCACCCTGGACTCAAACCTTTCCTTCCAACCTCATGTCCAATCACTATCAAATTCATGCAGGCTTCACCTCCGCAACATCTCCAAGATACGTATGTTCCTCACCCCAGACACCACTAAACAACTCGTACACTCCCTTATTATCTCACGCCTAGACTACTGCAACTCCCTTCTCACCGGCCTACCCCAACACACGCTATCCCTGCTCCAGTCTATCCTTAACTCAGTGGCTAGACTCATCCACCTCACCAACCGCTCCACTTCTGCCACCCCCCTCTGCCAATCCCTTCACTGGCTCCCAATTGCCCAACGCATTAAATTCAAATTACTAACTCTGACATACAAAGCCATTCATGACGCTGCCCCAAGCTACCTCACTGACCTGATACCCAAATACCACCCTACCCGTGCTCTTCGCTCCTCACAAGACCTCCTACTCTCTAGTTCCCTGGTCTCATCCTCCCACGCCCGACTGCAGGACTTCTCCAGGACTTCCCCCATCCTCTGGAACTCCCTATCCCAATCCATCAGACTGTCACCTACCCTCCTCACCTTCAGGCGCACCCTGAAAACCCATCTCTTCAGGGAAGCCTACCCCCACCCTCACCTAACAGCCGTTCTCCTCCACTCCTCCTACCACTCCATCCCCCACAGCCACTTCCTCCTGTACCTCTACCCCCTCCCTCCTAGATTGTAAGCTCGAAAGAGCAGGGCCCTCGAACCCCTCGTGTATTGTATTGTTACTGTATTGTCTCATGTTCTGTCCCCCCACTTTAATGTACAGCGCTGAGCAAACCTTTTGGCGCTTTATAAACACTGTATAATAATATTAGAGTTTCTTTTTTTCTTTGGGTCTTTCTTTGGGAGCACTTTTTAAATGCACATGGTATTCAATCCTCTCCCCCCCTTTTTTTGGAGAGGTCTGTACTGCATTTTACAATGCATAATTTGCATTCCTCAAGACAGTGATATATTTTGTCTGGATATGGTGATGTATGGGGCTTGTTCATGAGAGACTGTCATTTAAGCCCGTGGATGAGTGTACCCACATTACATATCTGTAGCAAGATAGATTATACTATCTAATTAGTTTTGTCCATGGGGTAACTCCATTTCCTTAATAGAGATTATATATTCAAGCTGATAGGCTTATGATCAAACTACAGTGTCTCTTTTTATGCCGTCACTTCATCTAAAACAATATGGTATTTGATTTGGTCTGGTGTTATTAACCATTTGGATGTAAGGTAAATAATTGCAATGGTATCCAGTTATATTGTTGTGCGCAGTACATTCCTCCCCACTAGGCAATAATTACAGCTGAGCATACATTTTATATATTTGAATAAAGATTATATTTTAGATTCATCAATTGGCCAGATGGTGTGTAGGGACACGCACCCTCTTCCGGCATAGATAGATCTATACTCAGACAATAAAAGTTAACAGTAAATAAATAAAAAACACAAACTAAAAAAAATTACAAAAAAAGCCAGACTTGATGGACAGTTTTTTTTCTGTTTTTCACTTTTTTTTGTTTCTATGTATAATCTCTCTCTTACATTTGTACAGTTGCCAAAATTATGTGAGGGTCTACCTAAACAAAGCATTCTGTCAGGCACGCCCCTCTACTACCTAGTTGCTGGTAAATAGGTACAGATTGTAACATGCTGCCAGCTTTAGTCCTATTATTTTTTATTTTAACATGCATGCTAATTTTATTTATGCTACCAGGTCCTGATCCTATTCACTTTGCTGCCCAAGGGAGCTGTTCTGTAGTGTATTTTTTCCAGTATGCTCTTTCAAGGAAACAATGCAAAGCTTTAGATGCCTGTTGACTTTATGCCTACATCAGTAGAAAGCACCCAGAGAGAACCATGTCCCATGCTGCCCCTAGGGGGCTCCATCTGAGACAACAATCTTGCAATTTACCATAAATAAATGTCACGTATTTGCTGTATAATGAAATCCATGTAAGCTAAACCTAACATGATTGCATCACAATTAAAGTTCATAGAGGCTGCTGCTTTGGTGACACTTTATTTATTATTAAATTGAAAATGTGATTGATATCATATTTCGCCCTCCATTTCTCTCAGGACTGTAGCTCAATTCTGACACTTCAATATGACGAATAAAAAAAAGAGGCCTGCTTGACAGTATTCTTTCATGTAAACTTGAAAAAATAATCTATTTCATATTCCAGGCTCAAGTAAATGACTTCACTGGGAAAGTATGCAAAAGATACTTTGGAAATAAATATGCATAAGAAATTACAACTCTGTCTAAATGACCCTCTACCTTGGAATGTCTAGAACTGTGAGAATTGTAAGGTCAAGAAATATGTGCGAGCCTAGTGCCTTTAAAGCTACTATTCCTTATTTGGAATCTGCAGAGACATGAAAGCTGAAGTTATATAAACTAAAAGGAAGATTTTTCCTGCTGCTTTCAAACCTAGTCCTTGACCTATCCCATTTATAGTTTCCTTTAAGATACCATGCATTGCAAGTTCATTTGTTTCCTAGCGCTCTTCCAACAATGATTTTCAGAACTAGCCAGTTCTTCACACAAGCCTGAGATATGTAAGCAGAAGCCAGAGATTTATAAGCCAGTAAAAGTCCAAGTTATTAATAGAAGCTCTGCAATTGCATAAGTTAAACAATACTGCAGTTAGCAATATAAGGATTTAAATCCAGGTTTCCTTGTGATACAGTATGTATTTATTCTTGGGCATTTGGTATTTTTCAGTCTAAGCACAAGGACCTAAACCTATATATATATATATATATATATATTATATATATATATATATATATAGTGAAGGAAATAAGTATTTGATCCCCTGCTGATTTTGAATGTTTGTCCACTCACAAAGAAATTATCAGTCTACAAATCGAATGGTAGGTGTATTGTAACACTGAGAGACAGAATAGCAACAAAAAAAATCAAAAGAAATGCATGTCTAACAAATTATGCACGGATTTGCATGTTTATGAGGGAAATAAGTATTTGATCCCCTATCATTCATCATGATTTCTGGCTACCAGGTAACAAGCTGAGATTAGAAGCAGTCTCTTAAAGGGAGTGCTGCTAATCTCATTTTGTTACCTGTATAAAAGACACCTGTCCACAGGAGCAATCAAACAATCAGATTCCAAACTCTCCACCATACCAAAGACCAAAAAGCTGTCCAAGGATGTCAGGAACAAGATTGTAGACCTAAACATGGCTGGACTGGACTACCAAACTATCGCCAAGCAGCTTGGTGAGAAGGTGACAACAGTTGGTGCAATCATTCGCTAATGGAAGAAATACAAAACAACTGTGTCTCCCTAGGTCTGGTGCACCATGCAAGATCTCACCTTGTGGAGTGTCAATGATCATGAGAACAGTGAGGAATCATCCCAGAACTACACGTGAGGATTCTGTCAATGATCTCCAGGAAGCTGGGACCATAGTCAGCAAGAAAACAATTGGTGACACACTACGCCGACAAGGATTGAAATCCTGCAGTGCCCGCAAGGACCCTCTGCTCAAGAAGGCACATGTCCAGGCCTGTCTGAAGTTTGCCACTGAACATCTAAATGATGCAGAGGAGGACTGGTTGAAAGTGTTGTGGTCAGATGAGACCAAAATTGAGCTCTTTGGCATCAACTCAACTCGCTGTGTTTGGAGGAGGAGGAATGCTGCCTATGACCCCAAGAACACCATCCCAACTGTCAAACATGGTGGTGGAAACATTCTGCTTTGGGGGTGTTTTTCTGCTAAGGGGACAGGACAACTGCACCGCATCAAAGGGATAATGGACAGGGCAATGTACCGTCAAATCTTGGGTGAGAACCTTCTTCCCAATGCCAGGGCATTGAAAATGGGTTGTGGATGGGTATTCCAGCATGACAATGACACAAAACACACGGCCAAGGCAACAAAGGAGTGGCTCAAGAAGAAGCACATTAAGGTCCTGGAGTGGCCTAGCCAGTCTCCAGACCTTAATTTAATTGAAAATCTGTGGAAAGTTCGAGTTGCCAAACGTCATCCACCAAACCATAATGAATGACTTGGAGAGGATCTGCCAAGAGGATTGGGCCAAAATCCCTCCTGAGATTTGTGCAAGCCTGGTGACCAACTATAGGAAATGTCTGACCTCTGTGATTGGCAACAAGAGATTTGCCACCAAGTACTTATTTCCCTCATGAACATGCAAATCAGTGTATAATTTGTTAGACATGCATTTCTTTTGAATATATTGTTGCTACTCTGTCTCAGTGTTACAATACACCTACCATTCAAATTTTAGACTCATCATTTCTTTATTTATATATATATATATATATATATATATATATATGTATATACATACACACTTTATATTGCCAAAAGTATTGGGACACCCCTCCAAATCATTGGATTCAGGTGTTCCAATCACCTCCATGGCCACAGGTGTACAAAATCAAGCACCTAGGCATGCAGACTGCTTCTACAAACATTTGTGAAAGAATGAGTCGCTCTCAGGAGCTCAGTGAATTCAAGTGTGGTACCGTGATAGGTTGTCACCTGTGCAATACGTCCATCCATGAAATTTCCTTGCTACTAAATATTCCATGGTCAACTTTTAGTGGTCTTACAACAAAGTGGAAGCAACTGGGAACAACAGCAGCTCAGCCATGAAGTGGTAGGCCACGTAAAATGAAAGAGCTGGGTCAGCGCATGCTGAAGCGCACAGTGTTCAGAATTCATCAACGGTCTGCAGAGTCAATAGCTAAAGACCTCCAAACTTCATGTGGCCTTCAGATTAGCACAACAACAGTGCATAGAGAGCTTCATGGAATAAGTTTCCATGGCCAAGCAGCTGCATCCAAGCCTTACATCACCAAGTGCAATGCAAAGCGTCAGATTAAGTGGTGTAGAGCACGCCGCCACTGGACTCTAGAGCAGTGAAGCTGTGTGACAAATCATGCTTCATTGTCTAGCAATCCAATAGATGTGTCTGGGTTTGGTGGTTGCCAAGAGAACAGTACTTACCTGACTGCATTGTGCCAAGTGTAAAGTTTGGTGGATGGGGGATTATTTTGTGGGGTTATATTTCAGGGGTTAGGCTTGGCCCCTTAGTTTCACTTAAGGGAACTCTTAAGGTGTCAGCATACCAAGACATTTTGGACAATTTCATGCTCCCAACTTTGTGGATACAGTGTTGGGACAGCCTGTTCCTGTTCCAACATAACTGTGCACCAGTGCACCAAGCAAGATCCATAAAGATATGGGTGAGCAAGTCTGGGGTGGAGGAACTTGTCTGGCCTGCACAGAGTCCTGACCTCAACCCGATAAAACACCTTTGGGGTGATCTAGAGCAGAGACTGCGATCCAGGCCTTTTCGTCCGACATCAGTGCTTGGCCTCACAAATGTGCTTCTGGAAGAATGGTCAAACACTCTCATAGACACACTCCTAAACCTTGTGGACAGCCTTCGCAGAAGAGTTGAAGCTGTTATAGCAAAGGGCGGGTGAACTCAATATTGAACCCTACGTACTAAGACTGGGATGCCATTAAAGTTTATGTGCATTTACGGCAGGTGTCCCAATGCTTTTGGCATAATAGCATATATATATATATAAATATTTATATATATATATATATATAATTATTATTATTATACAGAATTTATATAGCGCCAACAGTTTGCTCAGTGCTTTACAATATAATGGGAGACAATACAACAACAATACAGTTCAATACAAGAGGGATAAGATATACACTATACAGTATACACTGTGTGTCTATGTCAATCAGGAGTGCACAAGCCAAGCAAATCCATGTGCAAATGCCTGAATTTGTTTTGCTAAAATCCATATATATATATTATTATTTTTTATTATTATACAGTATTTATAAAGCGCCAATGGTTCGCTCAGCGCTGTACATTACAAAGGGGGACAGAACATGTGACAGAACAATACCAATACAATGCAAAACATGAGGGGATTGAGGGATTGATATATATATACTGTATAGAAAATTTAGTAAAACAAATTCAGTTCATATATTTAGTTATCAATCTTGGGAAAAAATCAATATATATATACACTCATAATATACAATTCCTGTTGGCATTTTAAATGTGTATTTTCATTATATCCCTACTGCTCGCTTCAATCATTCTATCACATGCAAAAAGAACTCCTGCACACCTGAGTGTTAAAAGTGCCCAATGTATCAATAATACACTTGACATGCAATCACATGCAAAATTAAAAGGGTAGCAAAGGAAAAGTAGAGAGCAGGCAATACCCAGCCAGAAGGTGTACGGTTACACATACAGTATTTCACCTAATTGTGTTTACGAATATGGATCAGTTATAGTAAACATGATAAATATATTTTGTCATTATAAATGTATTTGTTTATAGAACAAACATGAATGGTAAGAATATTTTCAAATTTCAATCACCTGTAGTCCCATTAACACCAGCCCTCATAAGAGAAAGGGGTCAGCACTTTGAATTATTATATTATTATTATACAGATTTTATATAGCGCCAACAGTTTGCTCAGCGCTTTACAATATAACGGGAGACAATACAGCAACAATACAGTTCAATACAAGAGGGATTTGAGGGCCGTGCTCCTTGGAGCTTACAATCTACGAGGGAGGGGCTAGTGGTACAAAAGGTAGTAACTGTGGGGGATGGACTGGTTGGAAGAGTAGAAGATTCCAGTATTAGCTGAGGGCAGGATAGGCTTCCCTGAAGAGATAGGTTTTCAGAGATAGCCTAAAAGTGAGCAGAGTAGGTGATAGTCTGATAAATTGGGGTAGAGAGTTCCAGAGGATGGGGGAAGCTCTGGAGAAGTCCTGGAGACGAGCATGGGAGGATGAGACAAGGGAGCTAGAGAGTAGGAGGTCTTGCGAGGAGCAGAGAGTACGGTTTGGGTGATATTTAGAAACAAGATCGGTGATGTAATTTGGGGCAGAGTTATAAATGGCTTTATACGTTATTGTTAGTGTTTTGAATTTTATCCGTTGGGCAATGGGAAGCCAGTGGAGGGATTGGCAGAGAGGCCTGGCAGATACAGAACGGTTAGTAAGGTGGATGAGTCTGGCAGCAGCATTCATGATAGACTGAAGAGGGGATAGCCTGTGATTAGGTAGGCCAATGAGGAGGGAGTTACAATAATAAAGGCGAGATATAACAAGGGAGTGAATAAGTTGCTTAGTGGTTTCCATGGTTAGGAACGGGAGTATCTTGGAGATGTTGCGCAGGTGAAGTATACAAGATTTGGACAGTGATTGGATTTGGGGCTGAAAGGACAGATGGGAGTCTAGGTTTACACCTAGTACCCTGGCATGAGGGGAGGGAATGATGATTGTGTTATTGATCTTGATGGAGAAGTCAGGGGAGGGGGCACGGGCTGGAGGGAATAGTATGAGCTCAGTTTTGGAAAGATTGCGTTTGAGGAAGTGGAGTGACATCCATGTCGATATGTCACTTAGCAGCTTAGTAATGCGAGAGGAGACTGAAGGGGTGAGGTGAGGGGTAGAAAGATAGATTTGTGTGTCATCAGCATAGAGATGCTACTTAAAGCCATGGGAGTTTATCAAGTGACCAAGGGAGGAGGTGTAGATGGAGAAGAGAAGGGTTCCAAGGACAGAACCTTGAGGGACCCCTACAGAAAGAGGGAGTGAAGAGGAGGAGGCAGCGTTATAGGTAACACTGAAGGAGCGCTGCAATAGGTAGGAGGAGAACCAGGAGAACCAGTTAGTGCTCTACAAATTTGCTGTTAGTCAACAGATAGAACAGAATGATGACCTCTTCAGGGGGATGCTTCTCCTTCAATGTCCAATCAATATGCTAGGAGGCTAAGCTGTATTTCTTAACTGTACAAAAGGAAAGATAGGTCACCACCCTGGCTTTACTGGTTGTCAATGTTGCTGATTGGATAATCACAATTGCAAATTTGTTGTCAATAAATACACATATTTTGTATTTAGCTCTCCAGTATGAACATTTATAAAAAAAAACAATTTTTATTTACAAACTCTCACAATTCTTCCTTCATCTTCATCATCAGGGAATGCTCGGTACTCATCACATGTATGCTGCAACTTAGACAAACCATCATTTGTAATACGTAACTCATAAAGTCTGCGCATCCCACACAACTTATTACCTGTCATTAACACTTATTATCCATCTAAGTTTGATCCATTAGTGACCATACATGTTTACATGTTTATTCTGCTGAAGGGGGATTTTTTAGTGTGATTATTAATGATGGCTGATTTTAAAATTTTACACAATTTTATTATTTCTTATGATGAGCTTTATGAAAGCCAAAACTGTTTTTATGATGGTAGAATAGGAAAGGGTTAGGACCTCTTTCAATTTCTTTTTTGCGTCTGTTACCCTGTTGAAGAAATTCCCCTCATTTCCTGTCCTGGCGACTACATAGGAGGTGCAGAAACTGGGGCACAGGTAGTAATAAACAAATAATAGACAAAAACAAAACAGAGGGCGCACCGGCCTTGTGCATTACCTTTAAAAATATGTTTATTTTTTTCTTCCTCAGAGGCTAGTCCTCGAAACGCTTCAGTATTTTGGATGTTCATCATTCTCATCACCATTCAGAAACGCACTGCGAATTGGACAGAGCAGTCTCATATGATGTGCTTATTTTTTCATGTACTTTTGTGAGTAGAATACCTTCTTTTAAATTTAAGAAACATAATTTTAAAGGAAATGCACAAGGCCGGTGCGCCCTCTGTTTTGTTTTTTCTCTATTAGTACTTTTGGACTCCCTGGTTCTTTGAGGGCAGCAAGGCACGCATATTCCAAGACATTTGTTGTGTGATCTCTATGACATAGAGTCCATCCCTAAGCGCAGGAGTATTTGGGTTTTCCACTTTCACAGTAATAAACAACTAACAGTTATCATGACCATGTATTGAACCCAAAGATAGCAAATAGCATTTTAAGAGTTCTGCAATTGCAGCCTACATGTTGAAATTTACATAATTTTAAGAAGGTCAAATCAAATCTCCAATAGACGTTTACCACATTTTTTTTATCATATTTAATCTGTTTTGTAATAATTTGCTACAAAATTATGACTTTGTCAGCTGCATCAAAGTTTATAGTTAGCTATGGCACTCCATTTTTAACATGTTTAGTCCATTGTGATAAAAGATAAACATAACTGGTGCTTAATGGCACTTACTATGGATCTTTGTAAATTAAAGTTTTCAATTTATAGACTTATTTCACAAGACAAAAGAATTTGAAGATAAATGTAAAAAGTACATCAAACTTGGCTTAATGAGCACAGAGAAATGGAAGGTCAGGTCTACGTTTATCCACACTTAACAAGGCTGCTCTTGTGATAAAACAAAACTAAAGCTGTGTGAAAGCTTAGATAAAATAATAATTAATGTCTCAATAAAAATAATGTCAATTAAATACATGTAAGAAAACTATGAAAATCTTGATACTCCCCTTCTGTGATATGCCTTCAAAATTAGAACAGACAGAAGACAGCAAATTCAAAAATATCTCTGTGATGTCTGCTGTTCATTATATTTTTAATTAATAATGTAATTATGTGTCCAAATGCCTCAGCGTTTAGCCTTATTTTTTAAAGATGTCCATAGATGGGCAGACATCACATTGGGAATGATGGTTGTTGAGACATTTGCTTGTTCTTGAACATGCTAGGATCTACTACAATGCTAGCTGGTAGCAGGGCGAATGAGCAGAAATGCTATAATGTGTGGCAAAGATATCTATCTCTCAGTTAAGCTGGCTATAGATGGATTGAAATGTGGCCGGTTCAGCAGAGACCGAACAAATTTTGATCCATATATAGTATGGTTGTTTCCGTTCAACAGAAGTTGTTCTAATGATTGAACTCTGTTGAATGGGAATGTTGGAAAAAAAATT